AAATAAAGGTGACTTAATTATCTCTTAAATCATGCCTCCATAATTATGCCTAAACTATTGGCCTACGAAATCCATAGACGTAGTCGTGAATTTTTTATGTTTGACTGGGTATGTTTTTTTTTAAGAAATATAACCTATATAAAACAAAAAAGACAAGTAAGTACTAAAGTACTAAAGTTTGTATACAAACTTTAGTACTTACTTATATATATATGCATTTTTATTTAGTTTAAATTTGGCGTTTAGGTGGAAAAATAATTCTTAACTAATTTATCCATAGTCTTAAATTGGGACACGTATGGTAAAATAACCAAAGGACTAACAGTTTTCAGAAAATCTTTTGTAAAAAGAGTGTCAGGACGTTTCAGAAGAATTTAACATGCATTTCCCTTAAATATGTTACCTTGGTAGTTCTTAGAGACCAAATTCAGCGTTTTAGGCCATCTCAACGCTTGTTCTTTTTCCAGAAGTTTCACTAGCCCGTTCCAAAATACGCCTGACAAAGGTGATGGCTAACTAGATTTTTGTATTTACTACTTGTTGGCAATTTAATGTAAGCTAATGTAACTGATGGTAGTATTATTGCGTGACCGTATACCTCAACTGAACTTACAATACTTAGGTACTCAATTTATTTAAGGGTCCTGCTTTTCTTAAATACATAGTTTATTAATAGATAAACCATTTACTGTTGTCCTTTCCTTTTTTTTTGGGAAATATGGTTTCGGCAATTAATGTGCAAAAACATCAAGTTGTTAAACATTTTGTAATTTAAATAAATTATTTCTACGCCAATGGTTGCGGTTGTTGAAGCATCATTTAATAGATAATTTTGTCGTCTTTAATTATTAATTTTAAATTTTTTCCTAAAGGGCTCAGTTTTAAAGAAATTCGCAAAAAATCTTAAATAAGCCACTAAATTACAGTTGATATTTGAATTAACTTCCAAAACAAAGGATCAACTACAATTTTGAAAAACATGTTTTTATACTCTAGAGAGGGTCTTTATTCCGATAGCGCATTCACTTTTTGGCGTCATTTTTATGTGACCTATGACTCATTCAGGAGCACTGTGTTTAGCAAACCTCAGCTCGTTATTAAAATAGCTTGCATACGCGATAGCTGTGTCGCCGCAGCTGTCAAGCCAACAAATTATAACTTGCATTTTACGTATCTTGCAGCTTCTGGAACAACACTGCGAGTCTAGAAACTCTTTCACCAAACAAATAGCTTTCATGAATGAAAGCTATTCCAAGGGCATTTTAGGTAGTTGTAAAACAATTTTAAGTGATTTGCGACTATTTTTTTATTAAAAAAAATAAAAGAATTTGTTAATATGTACCTACATTAGGGTGTCCGTTATTTACCAAGTTGGCTGTTTTTACTTGGGTATCGTTTAAATTGTTAGTTTATAACCTAAACACAATTTTGAAACTAAAAAAAATTCCGATGCCGCTTAACCCTGCCTAAATGGCGATACTTTTTCCATTCATTTAATTTAACATGGTGTTTTTGCACTTTTTGGAAATTAATTTTTTTCTTCAATAACTTACCAAATGTTGTTGATTCTGCTTCTATTATGATCCCTTTCGATAAAGGAATTTTGATATTGGCGTCAAAAATATATTCCGTAAATTCTGTCAAAAATTCATTTATACTGTTTTTTTCTTCAATTTTTTGTTTAATTTACCGACCTTTCAATATTTATTGTATTTAATGTTAAATTTTATTTTATATGCTTTTAATATTTACTACACTGTGGAAATCAACTACCCAACACAACCCAACCCAATTTATTTTATAAAATAAGTTATTAAAGAAAATTACTGCATTGCCATGTTATGCAAAAACCTTAATCCACTGATATGCTAAATCAGTTGATATAAATAAATCAACGTTTCTGCATAAAGCCCTTAGTGATTTAAAACATTTGACTAAAGGGAAAAATACTTTTTATATTAAAAGTTCATGGTCGAACGATATATGGTGTTAGGATATAAAAGGTAATTTAAAATGAACTAAGTATTAATGATTTATAATCTTTATAAAGTAAATATTAAAAGCGTATAAAATAAAATTTAACATTAAATACAGAATAAATATTGAATGGTCGGTAAATTAACCCTTTAACGCCCAAAAAAAAAAACAAAAAAAAAAACGGTATAAATGAATTTAGACCTTATCAAAATTTTATATTTTGAGCTACGATCACCATGTTTTGTTTTTATAAAGCCAGCCATAATTTATGTACTTTGATACATCGTTATTTTTTTTTCTATCTAACCATGTAAAATTCCAATATGGCGGCCATAGGAAAAACAAAAGATGGTAGTCAAACTCTAGAAGGCAAAAATTACAAATTTGATGAAAATGTAGATAAATGTGTATGTTTAACCCTTTGCGGACGGATTTATTTATTTAAGAAAAAAAAATATTTTTTTTTTAAAACTTTATTATTGAAGTTACAAAAAAGTTGTAAAAATGAAAAAAAAATATTTTTTTTAACTCTAAAGCATAAAAAAATGGTGGTCCTTATGGAGACCACCAGGCCTAAGCATAAGTTATTGAAGGAGCAAATATACGTCTCCAAATTATTTTTTCCGCAGGATCTGGCACAAAATGAATCAAAGGAATGTCCATTTCCTCATCTACACTGTCTGAAAGGTTTTCATTGCAATCTTCTTCATCTTCAATAACTTCTTTTTCTATTGTTGCATTCTTTTCTTCTTCATTATCTGATTCATAATCGTTTCTGTTGCCCTCTTCTTCATTTTCAATAACCTCTTCCTCTATTACTGCAGTTTTTTCTGCTTCATCATCTGATTCATACTCGCTGGCATTGGATTCAATATCAGAAGGAATTTCTTCAATCAAAGTATTGAAAGCGTCCGCAGAAAGGTCATCGAGATCTTGAAAAGTCATTCGGTTTTTTTTAATAAATTTGCGCAATTTATTTAATATGAACAACCGCAGTGTAAATTTTGGTATTAACATTAATAAAAATTATTATTATTGTTAGTATTGTTAAAAATAGCAATGAAATAGAAAATAAATGAAAAAGTGAGTATCTAAAAAATAAAATAGGTAGGTATCTTGAAACCTAGTGGTCCCTGTGGGAACCACCAAATGTTGACACCAAATTGACTTATTTTTTTTGCAAAAAGAATAAATATTATATTTTTTTTAGTTTTGCATGGCTATTAAGAATAAATAAATTCACTTACCGCCCATTTTACTTCAAAAATAACAAACTTATTAACAATATAAAGTGGCTGTGACAAAAAGGCGCGAACTGTCATAATATAGGGGTAAGTACAGCGTATCGCGCGATCTCTGCGACAAAGTTTAATTTTTTTTTCAATAGATGGCACCACAAATAATGTAGTGTGGGTGGTAACTCATAGATGGCACGACGCCGATAAGTTTATAAAAATTCATAAAAAGGTGGTATCTATATGGGATCACCAGGCCGCAAAGGGTTAAATGGAAATATACTTTTTCAAAATTGACAAGAATTTTTGGTTTGACAGTTTTTCAGTTTTTTTCAAAATTATTTGAGAATCGCTGATTTATTTTTAAAATTTTAAATGCTATTTTAATTTCTCAACTTTTGTCTAATTTAACCGACCTTTAAATAACAAAAGGATACCTGCTGCACCCTGTATATTATGAAATTATCAAATTGAATAAATAGCTATTTACATACCATGGGAGGAAAATAGTGCTTTTCCTCCCGCGAATAGTTTGATGCCCGACGCGAAGCGAAGGGCATTAAATATTCAAGGGAGGAAACGCATTTTCCTCCTGAGGTATGTATATAGTTTTTTCTATTACCTTCTAACGGTTTTAAGACATTTTAAGCGTTCCTGTTCCTTTTACTTACTCGGTATGGGGCTATAAAATTATGACAAAATATTAAGTAGGTGTTGCGTCGCCGACGTTATGTTGACAACGCTTTGTTGTTATGGTATTTTTGGTAATACAAACATAACAGTTTTTATGCACGATGACATTATAATATGACAATTATAACAAAAATTCTTTGACGTAAACGTCTTTTTATAGCCCGCGGGCGTTATTATGGCCCAGCGGGCTATAATGAAACGTCAAAAATTAAAAACAACAATGTTACACCATTTGATATATTCGAAGTAAGTTTTTTCGTATAAAGATTTTGATATTACCGGCAGCAGGCCTCAATTTTTCGCCTTTTCAGCTGCTTCCTCAATTTCATTTATCTTTAAACTTTAAAACTGACTGATGTCAGTTGACATTATAATATGACAATTATAACAAAAATTCTTTGACGTAAACGTCTTTAAAAACAATAATATATTAAAAATAATAATATATTAATCGTGCATAAAGTTTTGTATGCATTGCTGGCATAACTGGTTTTTATGGTCCTACGACGCTTTTCTAGCCCTCGCGCTAACGCGCTCGGGCTCGAAATAGCGCCTCGGACCATAAAAACCTTATTATGCCCTTAATACATAAATAACTATTATAAGCTGTCATAATGTTTTTCATAAATTTAATAGTTGCAATTAATTTCCTTTCTTAAAAATCGAAAAAGCGATGTGAAACTGAATATAGTTTGTTAAAAGAATGATTGGACAAGCGCGGAGTAAATCTTTTTCCTACAAAATCAAATAGGGTTAGACAAGGTACAAAAACTCTTACTAATGTAAAATTTTTAAAAAAAAAGAGGGAGGAAATTTTTTTCGCTCGGGGGTGGAAAATTAAGTTTTCCAGTAAGGTAGGTAGTAGAAAAAATATTTAATTAACCCTACATGACGCCCTTGTTGTTAATACTTAATAATTTCTGAATACGCAAACATTTTTAAAAGGAAACAGCGAGATAATAAAATAAGCCTGCAGAACAGACTCTTTTATTATGTAAAAATATCCTTAAATTTAAATTTCCTTCTTTAAATTAAAAATAAATCGTGTTTTTTCAATTACCAATTCCTAATTCATTATTCTTTTTTAATTACTTTTTATAAAGAAAACCAACCTTTTTTCGCGAGTTCCATTAAGTTGTGTTTTTGCAGCTGATCCATTGTAAAGCATTCGATTTTTGGGAGTTTACTTAGGGCATACGCAAATATTTCTTCCTTTGTGCAACAAACTTTTTCCTTTAACAATTCTGCTTCGAAATTTAATAAATTTATTTGACTGCTATTATCTCTTCCAACTATCGTGGCATCATATGGACTTGTTTTACTTTTTCTATCGTCTCTGCTTTCATCGAAATCCAGACTTTTTAGTTCGCGATACGCCTCAACACAATCGTGATTTTCCACGACGTCGTTTAGAAATAGTAAAATAATCGGCCTCACCATCAGTTGCAGTGCGGTAAAGTAACTTTTATAGTTCACTACGTGCAAATAATCGTTCGGGGAGTAAGGCCAATACAAGTCGAAATCTTCTTCATCTAAGGTAGGGTGAAGTTTGTGTATTTCCTCCAATATCTCCTCGAATATCGGTATGTAGAGAGAGTCTATTTTTATTTTGTCTGTATGTATTACAGACCAACATGTTTTGCTTATAAATGGTATAGTTATGTTCATATTACTGAGAATTTTGAAGATATCGTATTTACTTTAAATTTTTAGGTTACATGTCAAATTTAGTAATTTTGTTATTATTATTTTAAACAATTTATGATATTAAAAAATACTAAGGAAAATAAGTATAAACTACGAACATAACTAAATTTTTAAGGAGCTATAGCTATACGAGGTGTGTACAGAAAATATCTACATTAATGTTGCCGCCTTTAAAATAGTTCCCATTGGATATTATGCACATGTGCCAGCTCTTCTTCCAATACTCGAAACACTTCTAAAACTCGATCTTTCGTATAGCCTTTAGTTCTTTCAGCGATGCGATTTTAAAGTCATCTATGCTTGCAAAACGAAGGCCCTTAAAGGTTCTCTTTATTTTTGGGAATAGGAAAAAGTCAGACAGAGGCATGTCTGGCGAATATGGAGGCTGGGGCATCATTTCAGTATTGTTTTTGGCCAAAAATGTTGTTTAAAATTTAACAATCTTAGAACAAATTTTGCTGCCACGCGTTTCATACCCAAAACATTCTAAAAAATTTCATGGGATAAGCCAATCGATATACCAACATCATCAGCGACTTCTCTGATGGTTTATAACAATTTCTTCCACTTTTTCCATGTTTTTATCGGTTGTTAATGTGCTTGTGCATTCGGGGCGTTCGTCATCTTCAACGTCTTCACGGCCATCTTGAAAACTCTTATACCACTTGTAAACTCTTGTTTTACTTATAGCAGACTCACTATAGGCCTTTGTTTACATTTCACAGAATTTATTTCATTTTTAAGCAAAATTGGATACAAATTCTTTGATCCATTTCTTTTAACGAACGAAAAATCGCCGAGCTCATAAAACACGTCTAACCTTAAAGGCTGCCACAGACAAAGTGAACAATAAAAACAGTTTTTATCATACTTCGGGGGCATGTATACCAACATAATAAAGAAAATTTTATGACACTCGGACCGAACCCGCGAAATTTAACAATTCCCGTTATTTTCTGAACACACCTCGTGTAAGAAAATGTTGACCAAATTCTAGGTTGTAGTACTTATGGGAGTTAAAAGACATTTTTCTACGAAAACTATGTAAAAGTCACATTTTGTAATGGCAAACTTAACATAAAGTTGGGTATATGGACCTCGATTAAATATCAATAATATCACTATGATAGTTCAAATTACTAACATTAAGTAGACCAACCTATATTACCTAATTTGATTTCAAAAATGCCATTTGTTTTGCTCTAGGACGTCTAGGATTCGATATAATTGGGTAATAAAATGCTCTGCCCAATTATCTCAAAATGTAAGTTTTTCGTTTATATTTTGATTATTTATTAAATTATTTTGCCTTAAATCCATTTTGTATGTTCAGTATATTTCGACATTTTTTGTCAAAAATATACAGGGACTCCATACAAAGTCATGGGTAGATAAATGTCAAATGGAACATTTTTGGTTCCATTGTAGCCGTATTATTTGCCATAACAAAATGTGACTTTTACATAGTTTTCGTAGAAAAATGTCTTTTAACTCCTTTAAGTATAATACAATAGCAGTGTTATATAGGGAATATTTAATAAAGCACTTTTCTGCAGATAATTGTTTTATTAAATACCAAAACTAAAATTATAATGTTTTTTTTGGTAAAAGGTATTATTTTTTGAAATTTTTGTGTCATTTTTTTAATTACTAATTAAATTGAAAAGGCAACAAAGTAAATGGGTTTCGGTATAAACATTACTCTTCGACTATTATATGATATATTTTTATTCACATAATGCTTAAAGTACCCAAAATTCAATCTCCAATCTTATTTATTAGGTCTTATCAAAATTTAATATCGAATTGAAGTATAAAGGCGCATTTATCTACTTTATCGTTTAAGCACATTGAAGTGCATCTATTAATTTTTGACATTTAAAATTTAAACTTTAACATTTAATTTAAATGGACCTGATATACGACGTTTAATGAAAGATCAAGCATTTAAAAATGCTCTCAAAGTAATAATAATAATAATAATTTTATTTCTGCTATTACCTAATAGGTTTACATCGTCAAATACACAGTGGAGTATGTTAATTCATAAAATAATTAAATAATTTTAATAATACATGTTAAATATAATAAAAACACTAACAAAACACTTAAAAAAAAATATTGCTGATAAATATTGAATATGTTTAAGATAAAATTAAATTTAAAATTATAAGAAAAAAAAATTCAAACATTAAAATTAAAATGAAAATTAAAAAAGTTGACAAGTTTGTCGCATATGGCAGTGTTATAACTGCCATTGAAAATGTTCTTGGTTCATATCGGGCCTAAAATTTGCGCCAATTCATTGAAAAAATGCTCTCCTTTTTGTAATGAATTAGCTTTAATATGTCATTTAAAACATATTTTCTGTTTTTTATCCTGAAAAATTTGTCGAACTGGTGAACATGGAGAACTATTTCACCAAGTAACTGCAAATCTAGAGCATTGGTAGATATCTATGGGTATGGCGGAAAGAAGTTGGATTCATTTGCTGGAATTTGCAGCAAAAGATGTACGACGATGATGAGGATTAAGCACAATAATTCAATTCGATATTTAATACGATTTAATAAATTTAAGGTAGAAAAAAGGAAAATTATGCAATGCATTAAATTTTGTGGGCTTAATTTGGATAAAAAATATCGAAACTTGTTTACTTTGTTGCCCTTTCAATTCAATAATTAAAATAAACGACAAAAAATGTCAAATAATGGTTGTTTTTTTTTACATAAAATACATTAAAATTTAAAAAAAGTTAATCAAAACATACAATTTTTACAAAAATGGAATAAAGTAAAGTAAAGAAAAGATAAATGACGGTTTAGACATAAAAGAGCAAAGACGCCAACTATCTGTAATACAGAAAAATGTTATCAAAGCTAGTGTGATAAAACAAAGATTGAGTGACGTGCGAGGCTCTAATCTTAAGGTATTTTTTCGACGTGATATTTTTATGTACGCACCGTAAAAAGCCGGGTTTTGTTGACGGGACCTCGATGACGCAATTAAATTATCTCCATCTACGAATCGAGGTCGCCCAGAAACTTCCACCGACTCGGGAGCAAACTTTTCGAAACAATTTCGACAAACTTCACTTTTCCCCGAAACGATTGACGGTGATGTTTGGCAAATAATTTCCATTTAGGGACTTCTGGGTGGGAACGGTTGATTTAACAGGACGCGTACATAATTACTACCTAGTTACTTGTTCATTAAGTTATTTTGCTGTTTTATAAAGTACAGTGGGAAGATATTAATTAAAGTAAATGTTCTAAAAGAGCTGGGTAAAATGGCATACACCATTTTATCTTTAAGTTGTAATGTTTTTTTAGATTTTAATTCAAATTTGATTTGTTAAACGATGCTAGAAAATAATATTTTTTAATGGCCTAGACTATACAGCCATTCCACGCTACTCGGGAATTTTTGTAGCGTCCGTTACAATCAAAAATTGTGAGTAAAAGCTACCGTAATAAAATTAAATACTGTTACAATAGTTAATATTGCACACATGTTTATTATGCTTTTAATAATTGGAATTTAAATTTAGGGCATGATTTTAAGGAAACGGTTCATCTGACAAAAAATTTTATTTAACCTTTTTTGTAGAGCATTTAATTTTCTTAAAAAAATATTTTTAAGTAAATTTTGTTAAACTCAATGGTTTGGGAGTTCTGAGACAAAAACTTGATGAGGGAAAAAAAATTAAAATTGCGATGATAGACCTCTTAATAATAATATTATGGACTCAAACTTTCACAATAATTTTTTTTTGTCGCCCCAAACCATATTTTCAGGTAGTCCTTTGCTACTACAGTATTTTAAGTTGGTGGTACGCACTAAAAACATTATCTCTAGCGAGTTGAAGGTTCAATTTTTTTGGAATAATACCACTGGTAATATACTAGTAATGCGTCAAGGAACTTCCTGTTTCCTTTTTTTTCCTTTTTTTCTGTGTAGTATGATTTAATTTGACCAAAAACACATAATACTTTACATTAAAAAGGAGTTCAATTAACACCAGTTAAAATTTATTTTATGCACGATGACATTATAATATGACAATTATAACAAAAATTCTTTGACGTAAACGTCCTTTTATAGCCCCCGGGCGTTATTATGACCCAGCGGGCTATAATGAAACGTCAAAAATTAAAAACAACATGTTACACCATTTGATATATTCGAAGTAAGTTTTTTCGTATAAAGATTTTGATTTTTCCTGCAGCAGGCCGCAATTTTTCGCCTTTTTAGCTGCTTCCTCAATTTCATTCATCTTTAAACTTTAAAACTGACTGACAGGCCCATTCCTGGCGAGCGTGCAGTGCGTGCACGCACGCAGGCGCAACATTTCGGGGGCGCAAAATCAAAGACTTTCTTGCATATGATACTTAAACACACATTGGATAAAGATTTCTGCCTTTTTTGCGTCGGCCGCTCTTTTTTTCGGTCGCTATAAAGCGCCTTTTGCCGCTTTGATGTTGCAATACGTATTTTGTTTTAATACGAGGATCAAAATAAAAGGAGAGAAATGGTCATATAATCTTTAGTATTTGTTTGATAGTTGCAGTTGTCGGTAGCAAAGTTTAACAGTAGTAACTCTAAAATAGAATTAGTCAAAAATGACTAAGTTAATTAGTCTAATTGAAATAGCGAAAAAGCAGCGACTAATAATTATTGTCAATAGTAATTTGTATCCCGGATATTTAGCAGTCAACTCCTATGTAAAATTGTCCGCTGAATCCGAAAATGTCGTCAAAAGTTATAAAAGTAGAACGTTTTTAAGATTTAGTAAATTTTCCATATAATATGGTATTGACTATATCTTAAAAACTGCATAATTTTTGACGGTATTTTCGAATTCAGGGGACAATAATAAGCTGTTAAATGCCCGGGATACAAATTGCTGTGGACTAAAGTTATTAGTGACTGCTTTTTTACTTTGAAAACTAGTCATTTTT